GTTTGCAGTGTGAAGGTAGAGACACATCATACTCTGAATAATCATCTCAAGATTTTGTAAGAAACGGCAATATATGTGAAAAAACAAGCTATTTTGTGATCTGTATTAAAAGATGGATTCCCTGTGGGTGGTCAGAATTTGAGTCTATTAGGCCTATTTATTTTCCAGGTATTATTTTAACATCAAAGGCCAAAGGTCATACAATTAATCTACCCAATTAACAGTGACAACACTTAGAATCGAGAGGCCTGATCTGGAGGACGGCAAATTCCGTAACATCCTGGAATGAGACCCCACGCAGGACAGACTGGCTGGCCCTGTCTTCTCAGAATCGCAGGACAGTTGACAGTGTTTATAAAGATGCACTAACACCCCACACTTCAGTGTCAACAGCTGAGAGATCAGTGGGCAGCCACAGTCAATGTGAGATGCTGTGCCCATTCCTGATCATTTTATCTACTAATTACACATTTTATATGTGTATTAAAGAAGGACAAATGGCAAGAGAGGAAGAACTGGGTATCTGCAGAGCTATAAAACGAAAAGGATCTGACTTGTAGTTATTCTCTTGGGTGCCATGAGGTTAACATGTAATACCCATTCAACTAACCCTCTATAAACAGTTGGTTTTCCGTAATCACAGCCACTATTCCCACTTCAATAGGCAGCAACATTCAGAGGAAAGCCAGACCTAGAGCCTGTATAGTAAATACCAGAAACCAAGTGCTAGGAAAGCTGCTGATGTCCATGCTACAGGCACTTTCTTCTGACAACAGGCCTGTAATAAATGGGAGGCCTGGGAATCCCACAGGAAAGCTCCAAAGGTAAAGAGATCTGTTCCCACCCAGATATTCCCTCCATCCTTCCTAAGTAACTCAAGTGAAAGGACAGGTGACTGGTGGTGACTGGTGGAAACAGTTCCAGAACAGAACCACCACGTGCACGTAAGCACAGAGCTCAGCGGTAAAGCACTTGTCTGGCATGTCCTGGTCCAGGGTTGATCCCTAGCAAGCATGCGCATGCACACAGAGACTCATTTTTCAACAGAGGGTAACAGATTAGGAAGAGAAACCATTTTTATATATTCTTTATAGACACCACCTCATTTGGATTTTCATGTATGTTCTAAGCGATTGGAGTTATCACCCCATTTCACAGGAATCAAAAGGCAGGTGGTTCAATAACCTGCCTGAAGCCCACAGAGATCTGCTTGCCTCTGCCTTCTTAGGTGCTGAGATTAAAGGCTTTAAATATTTTTTTAAAAATTATTTTTATTGCTAGGCATTGGTGGTGGACGCCTTTAATCCCAGCACTAGGATCTCTGCGAGCTCGGAGCCAGCCTGGTCTACAAAATGAATTCCAGGACAGCCAGGACTGTTACACAGAGAAACCCTGTCTCAAAAAATGAATTAAAAAAAAAACACATTATTATTACTATTACATTTTTAAAAATTTTATTTTATGTACATTGGTGTGAGGGTGTCAGATCCCCTAAAACTGGAGTTTCAGTTTTGAGCTGCCATGTGGGTGCTGGGAATTGAACCCAGGTCCTCTGGAAGAGCAGCCAGTGCTCTTACCCTCTTACCCACTGAGCCATCTCTCCAGCCCCGCATTATTATTATTTATGGGGCTGGAGAAGTGGCTTCCACATTAAGAGCCCTTGCTGCTTTCGCTGAGAACACAGTTTGGTTCTGAGTACCCGAATAGTGGTTCACAGCTATCTATAATTCTAGTTCTAGGGGATCAAATGCCTTTTTCTGATTCCCTGAAGGTACCAGGCATCTATGTGGTGCACAGACATACATTCATGCAAAATACTCATACACAAAATAAAATAATCTTAAAAATTATTTATTTTGAGGTTAGAGAGATGGCTCAGCAGTTAAGGGCACTCATTGCTCTTCCAGAGGATCCAGGTTCAATTCCCAGCAACTATATTGTGACTCACAACCATCTGCAACTGTCTGGAACTCCAGTTTCAGAGGATCCACTGACACCCTCTTCTAGGCAAAACATCCATATACATAAAATAAATTTTAAAAAATTAAAAATTCATTCACTTTAAGTTTATGTCTGTATTCCCCATGTGTGCTCACAGATACCCAAAAAGAGTGCTGGGTCTCCTCAGCTTGAACAACAGGGGTTTAGAAATCTGATGCGAGACTGGCACATCTTTAGCTCTACCCTTGGAAGGCAGAGGCAGGCAAATCTCTGTGAGTCCTAGGACAGACTGGTCTATAGAGTGAGTTCCAGGACAGCCAGAGATACACAGAGAAACCCTGTCCTGAAAAACCAAAAAAGAGTAAGAATAAGCTGCCTGATGTGCATGCTTGGAAAGTGAACTCTGGTCCTCTGCAAGAGCAGCAAGTGCTTTTAACCTCTGAGCCATCTTTCCAGGCTCTCCCATGCCCTACCCCCACTTTTTTTTTTTTTTTTTAAGCTGAGAGCTTCTGTCTCACGCAAAGAAACATCATTTCAGAAACAGTAACTTCCCAGTAATTTGTCAAGACCCGGCCTGACCTTCCCACAGCACTGAGGCAGAAAACCAGGCCAGGAGAGATCAGGTGCTACAGTTACTGGCAAGGCCAGTAATAGAACCCAGGTCTGCTGACCCCTGCTCCAAAGCCCAGTCAGCCATGTTTCTTTTGGATGTTAATGCCCTTCTGATGTTTCAAGGCATCTGAGAATAGCAAGGAAACAAGTTAATAATCCAATAAAAGAAAATGTGGGAAAGTATCTAGATTATAAGAATTTTCTATAAAAAGGTTCATGACCATAAGATTTTTATCAAGGAAGTTCTGGAACACTGGCACCTTTAACACTCCTCTTCTGTAGCAAAAATGAAAAGTGACCTTTGACCTCCCTTCAGTAGGCTGTAATGATTAGCCTAGCTAGGTCGATAGCTAAGGAAAATACAACACAAGCCTCGCCCAGCTGATTAGAACACTTACAGATTTACCCCACTACCAAACAACTCCCATGCAATCGGAGGAGAGTGGGACCTAGGGACACTTGCAGTGGTCCTCCAAGGCTGCAGACCACTGTCCTCTAGTGATGGTGCCACATGAACTGCTGGAAACGGGAAGGGAACACAGCCATAACAGAGGAGGAAAATGTCTCTGGAATGCTGACCAGAAAAATCACCTCACGGGGCTGGCCCACCAGAGCAGCCTGAGGGGAAAAGGCATCAGTTCACTGAATCAGCTGCCATGATAAGGGCAACCAAGAAGAGAACAGATTAGATTAGGAGAATCTGACTTTCCAATTAGGAAAACAGGTGAGCAACACCACACGAGGTTAAAGGTCAGCCAGGTCTGTTTCAGCTAAGGAGATAAACCGATAAAACTGTCTCGTGTCTCCAATGCTGCCTAACAAGCACAAGACTTTGGGCTGATCCCAGCACCCCAATTTCCACCCCTATGTAGGGGTTTGGTTGGCTCCTTTTTTGAAGTATCAAGATAAAATGACCGTCCAGATTTCCTTTACCAGATCTTTATGCTGTGCAACTTGCAGAGATAAAAGGACAGATAAAAGTTAAGTGCAGGAAGGCTGAGGTAACAGCTCAAGACTCCATCCCAGCACCTGTAACCAAAAGGATCAGCTGACAGTTAAGAGTGGGCCATCAGCTTTGGGGCTCATCTACTCCCTGACTCTTCCTCCACTCAGCCCAAACAAAACTGTTACATTTGAGTCAAGCTACTTTAATTTTTAAGTATGTAATAAACTTATGAAAAATGAAATTCCCAGAAAACTTAAGAAGAATTTCTACATCACTGCTGCTCTTCCAAACCTGTTCTGGAAAGAGTGAGAAATGCAGATCATTTCCACAAAGTATTTTAATACCTATCCACAGTTTGAATTTTTCAAAGGCATTCTGGTGGCCCAACTCAGCGCATCCAGATGCACAATAAGGATTCAGTTTTAATTTAGTTAACTTTGACTGGAGTCATGAGTTTACTGGGATGTACTTGGAATCTCAGACCCTTTCTCCCTATTATCAGGATCCTAAATGTACTCTACTATTATAGTATCCAGAAAAACTTCATTTTTTTAAAGAGGAAATCAGTAAGTACCAACAGAAAACAAAATATCAAACAAACAAAACCCTACCATCTACTTTCCTAATAGACATAGTTCATTCACTCTCTCCTCCTAAAAACCAGATTAAATAACAATCACAACCTTCCCCCTCCTGGGTCAGAGGTACTTCCGGTTACTGGGTCAAGCCTGAACCCACCAGCTGGGTGGTCCTCCCCCACCTTCCAGGAGGCAAGAATTACACGTACAGAGCCTGGATCTTACAGCATCACCTTCCAAAAAACTCTCTTCAGTACACCCTCCACAACAAGTTCATGAGGAGCATTTGACCCTCAGCTTTTTGAAACAGCAACGGCATTTTTTAAAGCTCCCATTAAGCAACTAATAAAAACCGTTTTTCACTACCGAGTGCAAATATTTAAAGCTGGTATAGCAAAGATTTACAAATATTTTTTTAAAGCACAGCAACATTAAATAAAGGGGAGGTGGCCCCCAACAGAATTCCAAAAACCTCTCAATTCTATCTTTTGACTTGGTCGATGACTTTTGACAATTACCAAATCCAAACTAGCGATAAAATGTAATTTCCTATTCCAGCCACTGGATTTAAAATTAGATGTTAACTCTCCAGCGGTCCCTTCCCCCAGCTAACTCTGCTCTTCCAGTTACAACTCGTTCTTCAGGAGGATAAGCACAATATGTCACTCTATCTGAAAACCCCCAGCTGAAGGAGTCAGGAAAACAGGGCGCACGGAATCTGAGGCCAGCCCGAGTCAAGCACAGCGCGCATTGAAGGAACCATTTCCTAAGCTCCGATGCGGAGAAGCAGCATGAGCGAAGCAAAGAGGAAAAAGCCAAGTTACATAAAGTCCGATTGTACTCACGGTTTCCTTATTGGGAAGCAGCTCCTTTCTGATTCTGAAGAAGTTCTTGCCGTATTGCCGGAGTCCCTTAACGAAGCGTTTCTGTGATAAAAAAGAAATAAGTCAGACGTAAAAAACCAAAACCAAAACAGGATGTCAGCAAAGCAAAGATATCTGCAATCAGCAGAATAGCAACCGCAGAAAAGTCTGAGCTCGGGAATATTTAGCTAGGCTGGAGGCTTTCGGCGGCACAGCTGGGACCTGCTGGCAGGGCAGGGCAGCCCCCGGCCTGCGGGGAACCACAAGCAGCGCCGCGCGTTTCGGGAAAGGCAAGCGGAGCTAGGGCGGCCTCCTGACACCACGGGCTGCACGAAGGTGCTAACAACAAACCGCCCGCGTTGCAATAAACCAGCATAGCTGCTTTCCACCCGCAGAAGCTGCTGCCTTCGCAGAAGTGTCTCGGGCTGCTCCAACCCTCGTCCCCTCCCCTGACCACGAAAGCCCATCCGAAGCCTCTGGGGTCGAGCCCCTGGCCCGACCGGCCCTGCAGACTTTCACTTCGGCCGGCTCCACGAACTGCCCCCACCTCCGATCCAAGCGCGACCCGCAGCCACAGGTAAAGAGGCCGCGCCCGTCCCCGGGCTCCACAAAGCGCTGGGCCAGGCGGCCGAGGACTGCTCAGCGTGTGACCGCGGCGGGGCCGCGCGGGGCG